CTCTCTCCCTTTCATTCTACTTTGTCACGTTTTCGTGTTTTGTGGAACGGCTTTTTTTTTATTGTCCGAGATTCCTCGTCACCGGTGGTGCGCGATGAATCATCGGGTTTGTTGCAGAAAGGAGAGAAGTGGCTTACCTCGGTTTGTTTAACCGTGAGTCATCTGTGTTGACCCAACGACGCGATTGTCTTTTGAAAACACTGTTGTTTTTTGGGGAGATAAACCTGACTGAGATACCGTTAGCGGGATGAAAGTTGTTTGCGGTGGAGTGTTCAAGGGCGGTGCGAGGAGATCGCGGCTGGTGATGAGCTCACGTGAGGGATTCGGGGGTTGGACAGGTGGCAAATGTGGGGGAGGTAATTGTTTCTTGTGGGATCGGTGACAAGCTCTTGAGGAGGGTTTTGATTTCCCGTGGAGTGAGGGAAGGTGCTGGGATTTCCGAAAGAGACGACTGGATTTTGTTGAATGTTTGAAGTTAGTGCAAAGTGTTCTGGTTATTTGAACACGTTTATTTTGAAATGAGTTGATCTGAGATGTGCACATTTATAGTGTTACACGGTTCACAGTTGTGGACATTTATCATTGAAACTGGGAGGAATGCACTTGGGCACAGGCTAGGAGAATACTCTCAAGTTATTCAAATCAATGACACTGTTACTCCGTCGTTACTGACAGTGTGACAACAATAAACCACTACTCTGTTGATGCTTGATGTGCACATACAATGGCTGCATGTACACAATAATCAAGGTGTCAATGAAAAATGTGCACAACTGAAACGTGTAGAACTATGAATTAGCACGTCTCCAATGTGATCATTTGAAATACATCTGTGAGGATTGTTGGAGCACTTTGCACAAACTCCAAATGTCCTACTAAATCCAGTGGACATTTTTTCATTCGCTCATAATTATCTGAAATTGTTTTATCGATTCATTCGCTAGAGTGATGCCAGGGAAATTTAGGGTGAAAAAATCTGTATAACCATCTGTTTTACCTCACAGTTGTCCCTGTAAAACTAAGACAAATGCATGGGTTTTAGAGACGTTTCATCCAGTAAAACAATTTCAAAACACAAATAATTAAAACCTCAACACCGAAAGGTTTGACGAGCGATAAATTACATCACCAAAGATAAGCCTCACCACTTCCTTATAAGTCTTCGACCGCATAAAAAATTGATTATTCCGTCATGAATGGAGTAATAAAATTCTTTATCAAATAGTGAAGAAGCCATCGCATGTTTTACCATCGATATTTTTAGGTCATTACGTATCAATCATCAAACATTGGGAAATCAAGGGAAATGATAGAGAGAGAGAGAACAGAATCACCTTCAATTGCATTTGCAACAATGACATCGCCCGACGAGGTGGAAGTATATTAAAACAAGAAAACAAAAGCCACTGGAATACAATCCACATGGCATGAATCGCGTGCAAGGGGTCAGGTATTATTGCGTAACTTATAAAACTTGTGAAGCAAGAGAGGCCAGCGAGGAAAAGACAAGTCTCAGTTAGTTCTGAGGTGTTCGTTCCCACGGTTTGCCTACGTCCGGCAGGTATATTACGTCCCTCCGGTTCAGGTACTGGAGGATATGTACGTCCGGCAAATGGGATGATAAACTTTATCAAATGCTCGCTATCTCAAAAATTATTTTCATTTCAAGATTTATTTTTTGAATTGAATAATTTTAATTGAGTGATGGTGTCAGTAGACAGGTGAGAATATTTCCGCTCCAAAAGACTGGTGTTGAACCCATTTTGCCTCGTTAGTTCAAGAAATGCGAATGAAGGAAATTCCAAAATTTAGAATTTAATTTTTCAATTGCGGGAAAATGCCTAGGGCAAAATGGGTTTAATACCTGTGTTTTAAAACGGAAATGTTCTCAGTGTTCTAATGATCAGGTGCCTTTCACTTTTTCATGACTTTTTTCATTTTCCGGAATTGACGATTGTTAATACTCCAATTACCTGTGAGAACTTGAAATTGTTGAAGCAATTGTTCCGTAAATGGGGTAATTAGCTTTATCAACTGCGTCACTATCTCAAAAATTATTTTCATTTCAAGATTTATTTTTTGAATTGATTAATTTTAATTGAGTGATGGTGTCAGTAGAAAGGTGAGAATATTTCCGCTCCAAAAGACTGGTGTTGAACCCATTTTGCCCCGTTAGTTCGAGAAATACGAATGAAGGAAATTCCAAAATTTAGAATTTAGTTTTTCAATTGTGGGAAAATGCCTGGGGCAAAATGGGTTCAATACCTGTGTTTTAAAACGGAAAAGTTCTCAGTGTTCTAATGATCAGGTGCCTTTCACTTTTTCATGACTTTTTTCATTTTCCGGAATTGACAATTACTAATAATCCAATTATCTGTGAGAACTTGAAATAGCTGGAGCAATTGTCCCCGAGTAATTGCGCAACTTTCTCAACATCAAAGGATTCAATAATTCATTTCCACATGAATGAGAGGGAATGGTCAGTGAGCCATGTCCATGGAAGTTGCCGTTCACGTACGAAAACTATCCTGTGAAGGGAGAAGAGAGGCCCCCTCGGGTCGATAGACAGTACCCGAGACAGTACAGTCTCACCTTTCTCCGCCTCTTTCGTCTCGATACAGATATCGCAACTGAGTGAAGAAGCTGGAGACCATCTTATCCCTCCAATCCTGCCAATGAAAATACCCGGAGGAGGAAAAAAAATGAGGTTTAATCAATAAAAGGAAAATAACTGCGAAAACCCCAATGTCCGGAATTACGTCGAAGGAAAATGAAATCATCCCCCACTGAATGGCCAGGAGAATTTCCGATGGAAGTCTGGTTGTGAACCCGTATCGCCCGAATGGTCCTTCGGTTTCTTTGGACACGAGTACCTCTCACAGTAATGAGTCGAAACACTTCATCATGTCGAGCTTGTCATCGTAAATTTCCCTGGCATCTTGACGTAACAATTTTCATTCACTCTGCGAATGAATCGATAAAACAATTTCAGGTTATCATGGGCGAATGAAAAAATGTCCACTGGATTTAATAGGACATTTGGAGTTTGTGCAAAGTGCTCCAACAATCCTCGCAGGTGTATTTCAAATGATCACATTGGAGACGTGCTAATTCATAGTTCTACACGTTTCAGTTGTGCACATTTTTCATTGACAGTTTGATTATTGTGTACATGCAGCCATTGTGTGTGCACATCGAGCATCAACACAGTAGTGGCTTATTGTTGTCACACTGTCAATAACGATGGAGTAACAGTGTCATTGATTTGAATAACTTGAGAGTATTCTCCTAGCCTGCGCCCAAGTGCATTCGTCCCAGTGTCAATGGTAAATGTCCACAACTGAACCGTGTAATACTATAAATGTGCACAACTAAGATGAACTCATTTCAAAATACACGTGTTCAAATAACCAGAATACTTTGCACTAACTTCAATCATCCAGCATAATTCAGTCAACTTTTTTGGAAATTGCAACACCTGACATTTTATTAAATGTCAACGTTCGCTCAATCGAAACCCCGGCTCCGAATAATTTTTTCATCCTTCAAAATATTTTTCTCCGCACCCCACCATTTAATGGGGCAAAACAGGAGGAAAATCCCTCAGATATCAAACAAAATCCCCTCCCCAGCCGACACAATTCACCTTCTTCCTCTCACCCAAGATCACAAAGAGCTTAAAAAAACAATGGGAACAAAAAATTCCACCAATTCTGTGAGTCGACGGATCATTATATCAGCGCATAATATACGAAAAAAAAAATCCCGCGCACAATCCTTTGAAGGGAGATAGAGCGAGAGAGTATAAAAGCCCCCCCTGTGCAATAATTCACTTCCGTAATAACTTTCTCTCTCACGAACGATAAGAATAAAAAAAAAAAAGACGGTTGGGTTGCGCAAAGTGCTCTTTTACGAAAGTCTGGGGTAAAACTCTGGATGCATACATTATTACTAACACTAAACGCTCTGTGCCCCGAAGCCAGAATGGTCTCTCTGAAGGTCGGTTAACACAATGTCTCCAATGTGTTCGCAATTTTTTTTCCCTCGCGCTACTGTTTTTTTGTGGGAACAAAGGGAGAATTTTAATTGCAACAAAAAACAATATCCCAGGGACAATGCACCCGTGGATATACGCCCATTGGATAGCCAGAAAAATTTGCGGTTCGAAACACTCGTTTTGAACCCAGTACTTGCCCCAGTACTTGTTTCATAATTGGAGAAATAAATGCGAAAACAAAATTTCAAGTCAAAGACTTTTTTTTATCTTTTAAACTGGTGGGGCAAAATGGAGTTATAACCAGGATTCTGGAGCAGAAATGTTCTCAGTTTTCTAGGGAAAATTAAAGCAATAGGGATTTTTGATTTTTCATTTTTTATGAATTGAAAATTGGAAAATTGAGAATTGTTTGAGGTTTTGTTGCATTTTTGCTTGATTGTTCAAATTATTTGGTAATAAATTGATGAGATTGAATCTTTTTTTTCAAATGCAGGTATTATTGAGCCCTATCCATCGACATGAATTAAAATTTCATTTATATATTTTTGAATTTTTGATTTTAAAAAATCGGTTGTCCCACCATAACTAAAAAAAATGTTCTGAATTCATCGAATGATGGCTTAAAAAAATTATTCGGATGTCTCTTCGACCGAATTCGAAGATGAAGGCGATAGCTGTAATCGTTGTTTTAATTTTTAGAATAATTTTCAAAAATTTTGTATTTTATAAAAATTACAATTCCGAGGATATCTTTGGAGTAATTACACTAAAAACTTGTGATGTAAAATATATAATAACACAATTGATTAAAGAAGAAAATTCATTGAATTTAACAAAATGATATGAAACGATGAATTATATACTATAGAAGCAGATGTGCAAAATGACCATTCGGAAGCTTAATGTTAATTTATTCGCGATAAACAATAATATATTAATATAAAAGCGATTTCCCACTTGTTTCTTTATTATAAAGTGGAAACAATTTTATTCAACATTAGTGGGAGTAGATCGCTTCACCTGACCGCTCGAAAAAGTAGTTCAAGCAGTCCTGGGACGACCTGGGCCCCTGCAAAAATATGGTCGCTTAATTATTTAGCATAGCTAAGCGTCACCAAAGCTTTATATTTTCCTTACTCATTAGTTTAAGGCACGAATTAATCGCTGCATGAGTCGAGACTTATCAAAACTCGGGGATGAGTGTTCAGTGGTGAGAGAGGAACGGCGCGTCGCCACCTGTTGGTCCGGTAATGCAACCATTCATCCTCTCGTGAATACGAGAAGTAGAAATGATGAAAGAATTGCAAAAATTAAAAAATTTCAAATTCAAGGTAAAAAATTCCTTCCGTAAAAATCCATCTTTTATATTATTTTCGTGTCAATATTAAACGATTATAATTCATTTTTATTTTGTTTCAGCAACAAAACATCGAAATGTTCATTCATCAATATTTTTTTAATTAGAGAAATTATTCATTTAAATTAAATAAACTTAATATTTTTATAGAATGAATGGAAAATTAATTTTTGTTTTCTACATTCATTAGATAATTTTCATTAATATTTCATTCGATTCTAATCAAATATTCATTTGAAATTAATTAATTATTCACTTCATGTTATTAAACCCTTTCGATTGGACTAAACACAAGAGTTTATTAATTAAAAAAAAATTCTTCTCAAGTGAATAAAAAAAAATCATTTCTCTGGTTGTGATTTCACGTAATTTTTCTTATGAATTAATTTTATCGCGGAATAACTGATTTATTAATTTTATGGATTTTGCATGCTACGAAAAAAATTGCTTTATCGATTTGATTTAGGATTAGAACTTCTAGAAAAAATTTCTTTCTATGAAAACCTATTTTTGAATATTTTCGTGTCAACATTAAACGATTATAATCGATCAATAAAATATTTAAATGTTTCTTTGAATTAAATAAACTTTATTTCAATAAAATAAATAGGAACTTAATTTTGATTTTTATTCACATCAAACAAATCGTTGTTCAAATATAAACACATTCTTTTCATATATTCATTTATCAATATTCGGTAGTTTTTCATTTGATTCCAATGAAATATTCATTTGAAATTAATTAATTATTCACTCCATGTAATTAAGCCCTTTCTATTGGACTAAATACAAGAGTTTATTAATTAAAAAAAAAATCTTCTTAAATAAATAAATAAAATTGTGAATAAGTGATTTTATTTTATTCGACGGCATCATTCCTCTGGCTGTGATCTCACGTAATTTTTCCTATGAACTAGTTTTATCACGGAATGAGTGATTTATTAATTTTATGGATTTTGCATTCTACGAAAATCGCTTTATCGACTTACTTCAGAATCGGAATATCTAGAATCCAGAAAAATTGGGTTAACCCTTGGGCAAACGACGCCGAAAAAATTGCAGATAAATTGCGGCAATAAGATTATCTCTCCTCGTGGCACCTGTATTCATCAAAACCCGTAGGTGGGGCAACTGTTCCCTAATGGTATCATTATACCTCGATAAACGGTTTACAACGATATTGGAGTCGTTATCATTGCCGACAGGCCATTAAAGTCCCACCGGCTCGGTATTATCCTCCCACACCTGACAGAATCCTCCATGAAAAAAAATCTGAATTTGTGTTTTTTTTTATCGTAAAAACTAAATATTTGAAATATTCACTCGAAATAAAAACAAAGATTTACAATTTTTTTGTCATTTGTAGATAAAAATCGTTTCATCCAATTACTGAGAAGATTTTCGCTTTGAAACACTGGTCATAAACCCGTTTTGCGGGGCAAAATGGGCTTATGAGCACAGTTTAGAGTCGGAAATTTGCCCGGCTATCTAATGGGATACCTTTTGACCCCATCACCGTGAAAAATTTTTTTCTTTCATTCACCTGACGATTCAAAATAAAATCCTTCAAATTAAAATAAATTCCATTTAATAAAATTGAATACGTGATTTAATTTTATTTAATAAATTAAATTGGTTCCTTTAAAATAATATTTTGTAACAACATAATTTCTCACGTAGATTGTAAAAATGTTTTTCATTTGTAATCAAGATTCACATTTTTCTTTATTAAAATTAATAAAAATATTAGCTCAACACAACTAATATTTCCGCTTCAAAACATTGGTCATAAACCCATTGTGCCCCAGTATTTTTTTCGAAATTCAAAAAATAAATTTTAATTTTTTAAAAATAGTTTTCGCTGTAATTAAAAAAGTTGCGGGGCAAAATGGGCTTATGACCACAGTTTAGAGTCGGAAATTTGCCCGGCTATCTAATGGGGTACCTTTTGACCCCATCACCTTGAAAAATTGTTTTCTTTCATTCACCTGACGATTCAAAATAAAATCCTTCAAATTAAAATAAATTCAATTTGTTCCTTTAAAATAATATTTTGTAACAACATAATTTCTCACGTAGATTGTAAAAATGTTTTTCATTTGTAATCAAGATTCACATTTTTCTTTATTAAAATTAATAAAAATATTAGCTCAACACAACTAATATTTCCGCTTCAAAACATTGGTCATAAACCCATTGTGCCCCAGTATTTTTTTCGAAATTCAAAAAATAAATTTTAATTTTTTAAAAATAGTTTTCGCTGTAATTAAAAAAGTTGCGGGGCAAAATGGGCTTATGACCACAGTTTAGAGTCGGAAATTTGCCCGGCTATCTAATGGGGTACCTTTTGACCCCATCACCTTGAAAAATTGTTTTCTTTCATTCACCTGACGATTCAAAATAAAATCCTTCAAATTAAAATAAATTCAATTTGTTCCTTTAAAATAATATTTTGTAACAACATAATTTCTCACGTAGATTGTAAAAATGTTTTTCATTTGTAATCAAGATTCACATTTTTCTTTATTAAAATTAATAAAAATATTAGCTCAACACAACTAATATTTCCGCTTCAAAACATTGGTCATAAACCCATTGTCCCCCAGTATTTTTTTCGAAATTAAAAAAATAAATTTTAATTTTTAAAAAATAGTTTTCGCTGTAATTAAAAAAGTTGCGGGGCAAAATGGGCTTATGACCACAGTTTAGAGCCGGAAATTTACCCGGCTATCTAATGGGGTGCCTTTAGACCCCATCACCTTGAAAAAATTTTTTCTTTCATTCACCTGACGATTCAAAATAAAATCCTTCAAATTAAAATAAATTAAATTTAATAGAATTAAATACGAGATTTAATTTAATTCAATAAATTAAATTTGTTCCTTTAAAATAATATTTTCGTAACAACATAATTTCTCACGTAGATTGTAAAAATGTTTTTCATTTGTAATCAAGATTCACATTTTTCTTTATTACGCAACAATCATTCATCCACTCTCACTGATAATCTGAATAAAACATGGAGTCTGCATGGACCCCAGTGAGTGACTCTCGCCTAGAGGTGATTTTTTTTCTCCCTTTCATTTTTTTTTCTCATTCCTTTTCCGAGTCGAACGAGGACAGAGTGATGGGGGTTGAGCAGTGGAAAGGGTCGGTGTGGGTGGTTAAGGGGTGGATGATGGTACTGAAAGAAATGGGGAGAAAAGCGGCCAGGCGGCTACAGAATGGAGGCTGATGCTGGGGAAAATATCGATTGCTCTAGCACCCCCGAGCACTGTGAGAAAGACCTATTCGTGAAACTCCAATGGTGTTCAGGGCTTTTCGGGGTGGGAGGAGGAGGAGGTGGTACAGATCGACTCATCTGTTCTGTTGTGTTTTAAGCGGAATGGGGGGGAGGTTAATGAGAGTCGTTACAGAGTTTATATTAATGTTGCGTCATGAGGAAATCCGGGGATGAAAATTGCGTAGAAATAAGGGGAGGAAAAATAAATTCCAATATATCGGTGCAACGGAGAACAAGTGGGTAAATTGCTCTTGTATTGCATATAGTAGGGGAAGCTAGGGTAAAATGGACACTTTTGACTTTTTTTAAAATGTTAATGACGGATTGAAAAGTTGATGAAATGTAGTAATTTTTTTTTTCAATACAAACAACAATTCTTTCCCTTTGTCATGAGCTTAAACTGATCTCAATTAATAAATTTGTTTCTGAGTTATGAATAATGTTAAAAAAGTCTGAAGTGTCCATTTTACCCTACCCTCCCCTATAGTTGTTGTTGCTGATAAATTAGCAATATGCTTCCGAATGGTTATTTTGCACATCATTTCCTTCGATCATGTATCATTGTTTATTTCATTTTATTGAATTGAATGAGATTTCTTTTCAACTAATTTTGTCAGATTTTCAACTCAGTTGAATGTTATCATCATCATTATTCTTATTATCTCTTTCTTCGGTACAACCGATTGTGTTTTTACGGTTCTCTCTCTCCCCTCAGCCCTTCGATAAAATGTTGATAGGAAAATTTTATTTATACATACTTGAATGAATTTGAAACATCACATTTGAAGAAACCATCAGAAAGCTCACTTTCAAGGAAATTCATGAAAAATCCGAAATTTTCAACAATCATCGTAAAAATCAAATCAACCAATACAGCTATCGTAATCATCTTTTAACTTGGACTTAATGGCACTGAAACAAACATTTTAAACCATGATTGAATTCATTTGAAGCATGATATTCAAAGATATCCCCGGAATTCTGATTTTCAAAAAATACAAAATTTTTGCAAATTTTCAAATTAATCAAAATAACGATTATTGCTATCGCCTTCATCTTCGAACTCGGTCGAAAGGACATCCAAACAAATTTTTTAAGCCATCATTCAATCAGTTCAGAATTTTTTTTTAGTTATCATGGGACAACCGATTTTCGAAAAAATTTGAAAATTAAAAATTTAATCCATGAATTAAATTTTAATGAATGGAGATTGAAAGGGCTCGACAATGCCTACATTTGAAAAAAAAGTGTCAATTCCATCCAGTCATTAGCAAATAATTTTGCATCATCCATTCGGAAGAAAAAATTGTTTTATTGAGTTACTAAGAATATTTACGATTCCAAACACTAGTCATGAACCCATTTTGCCCCGGGACTTCTCTCGCAATAAAAAAAAAACAAATGGTAATTTTGAAAAATAGTTTTCACTGAAATCAGACAAGTCACGGGGCAGAATGGGCTTATGACTAGGATTTCGAACCGGAAATTTCCCCGGCTGCGCAGTGGGGTGCCTT